ACTAAAACTCACATCTAAGCAACAAATAATTTAGGGTTTAAATTGATATAATTACTAGCTACGTTAGCGTTACACCCTTATGAGAAATGTTTTGTTCCCCTCTCCAATCGACTTGGGATCTCACAATCCACTCCCTTTGGGAGCCCAGCACAACGTTACGCTATTATAAAGAATGTTTTGATCCCCTCTCCAATCGACATGGGCCAAGCGTTTTCATTAGCACACCACTCGATACCTAGCTCTGATACCATTTGTAACAACTCAAGCCCACCGCTAATAGATATTGTCCACTTTAGCCCATTATGTATTACGCTAGCATCTACTGAGAAAATATTTTCACACCTTTATAAGGAATGCTTTGTACATATCTCCCGTCGATGTGAGATCTCACAAATTTGAAGCTAAATTGTAATTTAACGCATATATTCTTTCTAAAAAGGACTAAATGGTAATTTAACTTTTTTTTAATTTTTATTTTTTGTAAAATTAAGCACATGATTATGAAATAAAAACTTGTTGAATTATAATATAATTAGATAATTGTGTAATGAAATTAAAAAAAAAAACATATAAAATGGATGTGAAATTACAAATTGAGACATGAGAACAGAATATTCAAAGTCAAACAAATTGTTGAAAGCATTCAACTCCTAATCATTTAATCCATTAAACCACTCACCCATTTTTCTTTCTAAAACAATTATTATTTTATATATATATATATATATATATATATATATATATAATTCCCATTATAATTTTTCTATCAAATTTAATCATTTATATATCATACCTAATTGCATACATTCCCTTTTTCTCATTAAAATCCATTTCAATCTTCACTTATTCTTCAACTTAGCTGACCAAATTCTTATGAATCGAATCAATATGTTATATCGATCGTACTATAATTTCGTGTTAAGTTAGTCGACAAAACTGAAGTAATCGATCATTCAATTTGATATCAGTATATTGCCTCGAACCAATTCTTGATTTTGTTGGATACCCACGTTAGACAACATGTTGAATTAGTGGGCTAATGTCGAATCGAAATTAACGACTCTTTTAAAACCGTCTAATTTTGATTAAAGGTGTTCATATCACCCGATAACTCGATTAATTCTGACTACTAATACTAAATCATACCGGTTGACTTTTTGGAAGATAAAAAAATTGGTTTAGTTTGTTGGTTGACATTTTTTTGTCGGGTCAACCTGACCAGCACGGAAGTAGGGTTATAACTGAAAAAAGATTTAAGAATAATATTTAATGTTTAAAACCGATGTTAGTGATGCATTGTGACGTGTAAATGTTTTATATTTGAACTTTATAAGATTTTAGTTAATAATATAACATGTATTGTGAATTAGTATGATTTTTTTAAAAAAGAACAACTCGATGACCCAATTCAACCGACCCGAAAATAAAAGGTGGGAACTCCATTCGGGTTGCTCAAATCACCAACCTAAATAACCTTCAGATTGGTTCAAAAGATTTTTTTCAATTCATCCCGTGTACTCCCCTAATTTTGATCAACGACTATTTATATTATAACAATCTGCTTCGTACATTGTATCATCTTTTGCGAGATCCCACATCGGTTGGAAGAAAGAACGAAACATTTCATATAAGGGTGTGGAAACCTCTCCCTAGTAGACGTGTTTTAAAATCATGAGGCTGACAACGATACGTAACGAGTCAAAGCGGACAGTGGGTTTAAACTGCTACAAATGGTATTAGAGCTAGGCATCAAGCAATGTGGCAGCGAGAACGCAGGACCCCTAAAGAAGGTGAATTGTGAGATCCGACATCGGTTGGAGAGAGGAACGAAACATTTCTTACAAGTTTGTGAAAACCTCTCCTTAGTAGATAATATCTGCTAGCAGTGAGTTCGAGCGGTTACATCTTCAAATCCATATAAGAAGAGATACCAAAACAGTATAAAAAAAAAAAAAAAAAAATAGAGTGAGTGGAGATTAGAATAAATATAAAAAGGAGGGATTTTGGAGGCTCCACTATAATGGAGTAATTAGGAGTAATTAAGGATGTGATTAAGGGAGGTTAATTAGAGTTGTTGGGTGTCGTGGGGGTTTGTTAATTTTGTCTGCCACAAATTAAATAAAAATAAAAATAAAATAAAAACAAGAGAGAGTTGGAAATTATTCGTGTGGGAATCAAAGAGAGCATGCGGAGACAACGCCCACACAACTCCTCCTCCAATACCCAATTTTATTTATTTTTATTTTATTTTATTTTTTTATTTTAATTATTATTACCCTTTCATTATCATATAATATAATACAAAATTACTTTTTATTTATTTTTTAATTCCAAAAATAATAATTATAATAATAATTGTCTAATCTTCATTATTATTTCATTTGTATGCTCCCCATTTTCTACCTCTTTTCATCGTGAATTTATTTCTTCTTTATTTTTATTTTTAATATTTAGATGATATTTCATTTAACTTTTTCATATTTTCGTTCGTCTCATTTTAAATATATATTTTAATATTATAATATAGTATATATATTGTAATATTAAAATATTATTGAATTTATTACGATATTTTACATTTTTAATAGAATATATATATATATAGTAAAAAACTCTATGATTTTATTTATTAATTTTAATTTTATAATTAAAAATTGAAGAATTATTAGGTTCCATTTAATTATATATATATAAAAAGAAATAGTTGTATACGTGGGAATAGAAATTTCCCATAATACAACACACGATCGATATTGTAAGGCAATATATTATATAGTCAAAATGGAAAATGATTGTAATTTCTCAATTTATATATTAATTTAATTTGTAATTTTAAAATATGATTTTCCAAGGTAATGGCAACAATAACAATGATTGTAATAAATTGTGTGTTTTATGAATGAGAAGCCAATTAAAATAAAAGCTACAAACTTTTGTTTGCCGTGTGGAAGCAAAATGTTTCGACCCATTAAAACGTTTTTTTTTTTAGTTAAATTACGATTTAGTCTCGTCAGCTTTTAAAAATATATGGTAATTAAGTTCATGAACGACGCGTTTTAACTGTGAGACTGATGATGATATGTAACGGGCTAGAGCGAACTATATCTACTAATAGTGGGTTTGGGTTGTTAAATGGTATTAGAACTAGATACCGAGCGGTGGGTCTACGAGGGCGTTGGTTTCTCAAGTTATAAGGTAGCGTTTTTCATATTTGGAAGTTGTAAGGTGGCGTTTTTCGTATTTGGCCATGGCAAACACAAGGACCCCAAAAATATAACATGTGTTGAACCCACTTTTCCATAAGAGGTATGGACTAACATAAAATAAAATAAAATAAAATAAAATAAAATAATAATTAAAAAATGTATGGGTTTGTTTGATGGAAAACATCATAATTTAGGGTTTGTTTCATTTCCTCCACTTTGGATGGTCAAATATTCCATTCCATCCCATCTCTCTCCCATACCTACTATTATTTTATTCGAATTTTAGGGACGAAAAATTATTTTTCTCGAGAAAATTGATATGTGAGATCTCACCTCGGTTGAACAGGTGAACGAATCATTCCTTACAGGGGTGGTCGGCGATACGTAACGGATCAAAGTGGACAATATTTGTTAGTGGTGGGCTTGGGCTATTACAAATGGTATCAGAGCCAAACACGGGACAGTGTGCTAGTGAGTATGTTGGGCCCCAAGTGAGTTGGATTTTGAGGTCCCACATCGATTGGAGAGGGAACGAAACATTTCCTATAGTGGTGTGGAAACCTCTCTCTAATAGATGCGTTTTAAAATCATGAAGCTGACGACGATACATAATAGATGGAAGAATTTTGGGTATAGTTTAATGTAATTATTTAGAATAAGGTATTTGAGTAAAACCCTAATTTTATTGGAAGTTTGGGATTTTCAAAGGTTAATTATCATGGTTGTGATGATGTAAAGGGTGATTATAAATTGAAAGTTGGAAACTTTAATTGCCAAATGGCGTCATAATCAATTACACCCATAATTATTGTTTATTAATACTGTTATTTTTCATATTAATACTGAAGATTTCACTATAATTACTATTTTCTTAATTATTTATTATTATTATTAGTACTATAATTTTCTTCATTAGTGCCACAACCATAAGTGTGTTATGGCTATCACAAATAATAAGCCAATTCCATCCGACTAAACCCAATTGTTTGGGTCGGTCGAGACGGTACTATAGGACATAGCGTTTTTTGAAAGTTGGGTTGGATCGGGTTAAAACATGTTTCAGACCAAACCCAGTTGTTGGATTGTAAATTTTTTCAACTCAAACAACTTTTATTAAATAATTTACGATTGTTTAGTTTAGGTTGTTCGATTATCCCTAAAACATATATTTATTTATTTCCAGACAACTGTACTTCAATATATATTTTTGAAAACTTACCTTTCGAACCGGGAGAGGTTTCCACTCTTATAAGTAATGTTTCGTTCTCCTCTCCAACCACTGTGAGATCTCACAACAGATCATCAATTCTCCTTTGGCAAGCATGCATGAGAGACAACTCGTGTGGATCAATTAACCCACTTCGACGAATCATACGAGACAATCCGTCTGATCATATAATATTTTGGTGAAAAAAAAACTCGATATTATCATAGATATGTAACCATCATAGATTGTTTAGGGTTTAGGGTTTAGGGTATAGGGTTTTTATTCGTATGGTTTTTTCATTTTTTTATTTTTTTTAAGAATTTCACATTTTTTAAAAAAATATTTAAATTTTGCAAAATGAAAGTCAAATATATATATATATATAACACCTTGCATGAGGGAGAGAGAGAAATTAAGAAATTAATTAATTTAAAAAAAAAATTAAAAGACCAATGTCTTCTTGTGAAATGGAACTCCACCAATGAAGATTCCAATATGCAAAATAATTATTATTATTATTATTATTTTCTCTTATAAATACCTCTCTTTCAACTCCTTGTCTCGTCACCATCTCTCTCTCTCTCTCTTCCAAATCATAACCAATTCTCTCAAGATGGCTTCCATGGCCGCCGGAAGCTGCATTAGCTTCAAACCCTATAATCCATGTCTTCCCCTCCACCCTCCAAAACGCACCGTTTCCAGCTTCACCATCAGAAGCATAGCCAGTCCCATCCGCCCCTCGCCACCTGTCGTCGTTCCATTGCCTGATATCGACACCTCCATTCCCCCGACTCACGTTGCATGGACCAGCATTCGACAAGACCGATGGGAAGGACAACTCTCCGTCCAAGGCCAATTGCCTCGTTGGCTGGTTCGTTTCGTAACTATTGAACTAAAATGGATACGGTTTCGTGTCATGCTTAAAATTAGCCTCAAACATGTTTTAAATCAATTTTTATGATATGAAAATTTAAATATTGGATTGAAATCGATCTTAAAAGCTTGCATGCATATGATCAGAAATAATTTCGTTCCTATGGTGATTAATCGTTATGGAAAAATATATTTTTTTTTTAATAATTTAAACAAATAAAAATTATTATTTTTAAAATATACGGAGGGATATTCTTTGGTTTAATTGATTTATGTTTGTTGACGGAGACACAAATACTATAAAACAAATATGTTCATAACCTAAACAATTCTTTCCGTTGTCTTTTTCAAACAAGCCATAACATCAGATGAATCGTTAGATATTGGTTAGTGTTTGATTCAAACTTTAATTGTATTAATTAATGTTAATTGTTGTACCTACGTGCTTAATGAATTTCTTGACATTTTTTATACTATAGTTTTTAACGTTATATTAGATGATTGTCGTATTGATTAAATTGAATCATGTTTTCATGTAGAATGGAACGTATTTGAGAAATGGACCTGGAGTATGGAATATTGGAAATTATAACTTTCGTCACCTTTTCGATGGTTATGCTACCATTGTTAAGCTTCACTTTGAAGATGGTCGGTTAATTGCTGGCCACCGTCAAATCGAATCGAATGCTTATAAGGCTGCCATGAAGAATCAAAAGGTTTGTTATCGTGAATTTTCTGAAGTCCCCAAGACTGATAACTTTCTTGCCTATGTTGGAGAGCTCGCAAACCTTTTCTCTGGTGTATCGTTGACTGATAATGCAAACACTGGAGTCGTGAAGCTTGGCGATAGTCGAGTTGTTTGTCTTACAGAGACGCAAAAGGGGTCTATAATAATCAACCCGAGTACGTTAGAGACCATCGGGAAGTTTGAGTATAGTGACTCACTCGGCGGTTTGATTCATTCGGCTCATCCAATTGTTACGGACTTGGAGTTTTTGACATTGTTGCCAGATCTTTTAAACCCAGGTTACTTGGTGGTTCGGATGGAACCGGGCTCAAACGAGCGAAAGGTGATCGGTCGGGTCAACTGCAAGGGTGGACCGGCCCCAGGTTGGGTCCACTCGTTTCCAGTGACGGAGAATTATGTGGTGGTGCCGGAGATGCCATTGAGATATTGTGCTCAAAACTTGCTGAGGGCAGAGCCGACGCCGTTGTATAAGTTTGAGTGGCGGCCGGAGTCTAAAGCCTTTATGCATGTCATGTGCAAAGCTAGTGGAAGTATTGTACGTCTTCCCTTTCTATCTTATTTTGCATTATTGCTGATACCTGTACACAAATTGCAACCAAGCTTATATGATATCAAATATGACATTATTACTTATAATGCATACTTTTCAATGAAATGCAGGTTGCAAGCGTAGAAGTACCATTATTCATTACATTTCATTTCATAAATGCATATGAAGAGAGAGATGAAAAGGGAAGGATTACCGCTGTGATCGCCGATTGTTGCGAACATAATGCCAATCCTTTAATCTTAGATCGACTTAGGCTTCATAATTTGCGACGCTTCTCACTCAAACATGCTCTTCCGGATGCTAGGTTTGTTCGATCTTTTTATCATTATTATCCAAACTGTTTGAAGTTTTTACTTTCATTCTTTAGTGTGTTTATTTGTAACGGCTCAAACCCACTACTAACAGATATTGTCATCTTTGAGCTTTTTCTCTTGGGCTTTCCCTCAAGGTTTTTAAAACGCGTCTGTTAGGGAGAGGCTTCCATACCCTTATAAAGAATGGTTCGTTCATCTTTTCAACCGATGTGGAATCTCACAATCCACCCCCTTTCGGGGCCCAGCGTCCTCGCTGGCACTCGTTCCCTTCTCCAATCGATGTGGGACCCCCCAATCCACTCACCCCCCTTCGGGGCTCAACCTCCTCGTTAGCACATTGCCCGATATCTGGCTTTGGTACAATTTGTAACGGCCCAAGTTCACCGCTGACAAATATTGTCCTCTTTGGGTTTTCCCTTTCAGGCTTCCCCTTCAGGTTTTAAAATGCGTAGGCTAAGAATAGGTTTCTACACGCTTATAAAAAATGTTTTGTTCTCTCAGAGGGGGCATCGTGAGCTGATGAGCTGACCAAAGCAAAAAGATATATATATATATATATATATATATATATATATATATATATATATATATATATATATATATATA